ATTTCAGCATTAAATAACCCACAGAGGTGTTGATGTGTCACTAAACAAAATCAACCAACCAAAAGTACCTATTTATAGTAAAATTACTAACAATACATATTCAAAGGAAAATGACTAACAATACATTTTATCTGGAGTTGAAAGCATACAATTGTGTTCAAAATATTTAGATTTCATTATTAAATAACCCATAAAGGTGTTGATATGCTGCTAAACAAAAACAATCAACTAAACAACTCACATGAAGGGACTCTTTCATGACATTAATCCTTATAATATTCTACAATTTCTTAAATCAAACTGTATTCCAAAATATAACTTCAACAAAACTACAACATAAAACAGACACATCACAATAAACCTGTATAAGCTCAAAAGCTGAGTATCATCTACCATGTATTCAAATGTGAAAGCAGAATAACATATTTTTATTGCTTCAAAGCTCCCAAGAAAATTCAATTTTGGCATTAAATGGCCCATAATGAGTTGATATGCTGTTTAAGAAACAAATCAATCAATCGGTATCCGCTTGTGTCTTAGTGGATTTATTGCCATGCTTGAGGGGAAATTAATTAAATAAAATAAAAATATTTTCCAAACTCTTAATATTCCTTCTGGAAAGCATCTATCAATATTCCTATTCATTTTTAGATTTCTCTCACATTTTCTGTCATTTCTCTATTACTCCACTAACCTAATAGTTTTATTACTCCACTAACCTAATAATTTTATTTCTCTACCTGCATGATTTCTAACATCCACAGTTTGTAACTCACACTTTAGATAATCTCTTAAATTGGCAACCATGAATTCTGTTTTCTACAGTTAATAATTTTTTCTTGCCTTCCCTTTCTTACCTTGCCATAATAATGATATTTATTATGCTACTGTAATAATAATTAATTAAATATTCTCTTAGTAATATTTTTCCCCTCTCTTATTTCAGTTTTTCTTCGTTCATCTGACCTGTCCTTTCAAGGCATGGATGGTCATGACTCTGTGCAACTTCCTACCCTTTGTAGATCTTATGTTTGTCTTCTTACTATTGCTCTCACTATTGTCCTGCCATCCATTTACACAAGGTTGTTAGGTAGGGGTTGCTCTCTGTTTCCCACTGTGAGTGTTGAATTCTCCAAGCTCTCTTTCCTCATTACATATCCCAGAAGTTTCAACTGTGTACATATGTTCTTTTCATTCCTGTTTTCCTTAAAACTTTCTCATTGTTCACATGCTCTCTCTATGGTATTCTCAGCATCCTTCTGTAGAACCACATCGCTGTTGTCTTAAATCTTCTCTTTATCTGTGACAAAATTGTCCTGTATTCACTGCCATATTAGAGGATTGATATTGTATAGCAGTTCAAAACTATTTTTTTGTGTGTGTTTCTAATGAATTCAATTTCATTAGAATTATTCTTAGATAAATAAAATGATTACATTTCCTCTAACAAAATTATTAATGAACATGTAATAATCATAGATCCTGTGACCCATCAGGGTCATAGCGACACCACATGTACTGCAGCTGCAGTAAAAAATGGTTTCTTGGACAAGACGGCCTAACAGAGTCCAACCCTCTCCAGGTCGATTTTGAATTCAGTTTTTCTTTCTAGAGAGATTGCTACCCAAGGCTATAGAACCCAGTCTGTCCTGTTAATTACTCATAGCTGTGGGGAGAAGAATATGATTCATAGCTTTTCCCTTTGAAAGTGAATGTGATGGATCCAACTGGAATTCGAACTCGAGTCTTCAGTTCCTCAATTCAAGCCACTATCCATTTCTCCACCGTGCCTCCTAATGAATATATATTTTTCTTAATTTCATTCTTTCATTAACTTTCTGCATGCTCCCCCCCCCACTTTCAAAAAAAAAAAAAAAAAAAAAAAAATGAACTTACCCAAAGCAAAATTTTATTTCCCCTCCTCTTCATAGTTCTGCCCTGGGGGGTGATATTGGCATTTTAGTCCCCATTACACGTTTCCTTGTTTTCCTTCCAGTGTAGATGGTTTATCTTTTAGAATCTGTCTGTTCCTTCTTTCTAACGTAACCTGAATTCATTCTTTGTATTACCTGTCCTAAGGCTGCGGAATTTTCAGAAAGAATGTGCTATTGGTAAAGAATAACTCAGATGGCCAAGGGATGAACAACAAAGTAAGACGTATGAGGCATTTAAGAAGTAGTTACATTACTTAAGTTATGCTTTATCTAATTCACTTGATAAAGGTGATTTGGCAAAAGGGTCCCGCCAAGCGAGGGCTTCAGGACATAAAAACTGGTTGGCATGCAGTTTATTCTGGAGACTTCTTACAAACAATAGCATTGGAAAGTGAAAAAGTCTATTGCAGGAGAATATAGGGTGGCACGTAGCTTTTCTGTAACCATGATGGTGTCTCTCCCTGCAGGATCAGCACTGATCAGCCTGGATGGTGGTTTGAAACTCTGCTTACCCTCTGCAACGTAACAAAATGTACGAAAGAAACAAGAAAACCAAAAAAGGCAATAACCTAAAGAAAAGAAAAGATAAACCCCTGTTTCTTCCTGTTTCTGTTTTCCGTTCCCTGCATTGAAGTGTATACCCGCCCGTTGCCATCTGTCTGTTTTCGCCTTGCAAAAAGAATCTTTCCGTAAAGATCTGTACAAATAGAACATTTTCATCTTCAATGACAGAGTCTTGCCCCAGGAAAACGGACAATTCCTCCTCGTTTGCTGAACATTTCCATTGCTTCATACATTGAAGAGTAAAAACTTGTGGCAGTGATTAATAGTGGGGGATGTGCCAATATTTTTCCAATGGCTGAATGTGACAAAGTTTGGCTTGGATTGATTGTGTGTTTTTTTTTTTTATGTTTTATCAACCTTCCTTGCAGGTTGTTTAAATCCAGAAAATATTTTTAGATTGTAAAAAATTTTGGGATGATAATGAATCTACTGATAAAATTACTTAACCCATAGATGGTGGGAGAAGAGGGATTCATGCCTTTCTTAAGGGTTTTTGCACTTATGTGAATATAATAAACTTGACTGGGTTCATTATATTCGAATGTGTATATATATATATATATATATATATATATATATACACACATTTGAATATAATGTTTATAATAATATTATATTCATATATATATATATATATATATATATATATATATACATACACACATTTGAATATAATGTTATATAATAATATTATATTCAAGTATATATATATATATATATATATATACATACACACATTTGAATATAATGTTATATAATAATATTATATTCATATGTATATATATATATATATATATATATATATATACACACATTTGAATATAATGTTATATAATAATATTATATTCAAGTATGAATATATATATATATATATATATATACACACACACACACATTTGAATATAATGTTATATAATAATATTATATTCAAGTATATATATATGTGTATGTATATATATAATATATATATATACACACACATTTGAATATAATGAACCAGTTAAGTTAACTGTTTAAATGTGTCAATATCTGCTAACTCACTCGTGTCTTCTCTCTACCCCCCTCACTTCGTTAATTTACATATGTTTAATATGGCCCGTCAAAAATGTGTAAATTTTCTTTTCATTTTTTGTTTGGAAGTAAAGTCTGATGATCCGAGTCCTTTTAAAAGGGCTGTGGTGAAATAATTTATTACATGGAACCTTAAAGTGGTCTGTTTTTATTTAAATTATTTGCTCTGGATTTACATTGAACTCTCTGGATTTTATCCTCCTTAGATTTACCCATACAGATTACCTAGTTTTTCTTAAACTACATATATATATTGTTGTGTATGATACACCTAATTTACATAAGCGGACTACCGACCATATAAATATGGGTTGGTACCGGAAGACGGGGAAGATAGTAGAGATTAAGAAATTGAATCCAGAGACTCTGCCCGACTGCGATTTAGTCAACCCATTATGCAGGAACAGTCTTCCCAAGAATATACCAAACTAACTGTAAATATTGTGTACCTATTCTTTGTTTCAATACATTTTGTTAACGTACATTTTGTGTTGTATTATTCCATGCTTATTTAAGCTTCAACATATATATATATATAATCTGAAAAAGTGATGTTTTTTATTTATTAATCTAACAGATTTTATTACTTAAATGTTCTTTTTAGTGGATACCTATTTTTGAGTAGATGCTCCATTTATTTATTAAAAATTATATTTCTGTTTACTGTTCTGAATATTCAAGAAATCTTATAGAAAAGTACTCTTTGCTCTACCTAGGGCAGGGGGGGGGACACAGGTTAGTGAGCGCAAATTATTCTTCAATAAGATTTCTCGAATATTCAGTCCATTAACTGAAAATAAATAAAAGTAGTGTCTAATCAAATACGGGTATCCACTAAAATAACACTTCAGTTTTATATATATATATATATATATATATATATATATATATATATATATATATATATATATATATATATATAGTGTATTTCTGTAATGGTTTCTGGTATTGTTTTTCTTTCCTTTGTGATAGTTGAATTTCTGTTTAAAATTTTTGTTTTAAAGTTTTGTGATCTCTATTTCCCTATATGGAATCTCTTTGCTATCTCTGTCTATCCTATATGGAATCTCTTTGCTATCTCTGTCTATCCTAGGTTTTTGTATTGTTGATTGAGGACAGTGTTTTTGATTTCTCTCTCTATCTCTTTCTCTCTCTCTGGCCACCACACCTTTAATCTTTTGTCTTCACCTTGCTCCAGTCCCCCCCCCCCGGGTCATGTGAGTCATATCTAATTTGACTTTCATTCACATGAATGGTCAATGACACCTCAGTTGAGCCACCTCTAAAGTGTTAGAATGTAGATAGCTATATATCATTGTATATTACTTATAAGCCGGAATCTTATCAGACACACTAGGTTAACTGACCCAGTTTCTTTGTTAGAAGTTTGTTTATGACTACTTATTGTGTAAGTATGGTTTTGTGCAGTAGATGTACACATATCTATCTATTGAGGTATTCTTTCTATATACCTACAACTTGTTTCATGACTCTCCCTTCTCCACAACTGTCTTTTTAAGTTTCCTTGGGAAAGTAAAGCATCGACTCTTGTTATATCTTTGTCCTGACTTTTATAAGTGTTACTTTAGGGACGTTGTGCTGAACAACCATTAAAAAAAAAATAACAATCAAACTGGTGTGTATGTGTGAGCACAGTTTTGTTTATAAACAATTGATACAAACAAATTAACAAAAATGCAGACTCTGTCTAGATAATATTGTAAGCTGCATTTGCATATATTGCAAGTGGGTGGCAAATGGTCAGATTGTAATATAAATTTAAAATGTTCTAAACACCAGGCACCTGATGCATTAGAGTTGACCATAACATATAATTCCTGTTCTTGAAACTTGTAGTTGGAAGCACTTGAACATTGAGAGATGGTAAAAGTTTACTGACACTGGAACCAAACAACTCTTAATTTGTTTGAAAAATAACAGAAAATCCTTGAAAGTTCTGTCTACTTTTTTATAAAGTCCGTGAAAACAAATGTTAAAAGATATAGCAGCCTTTTTATTATATTGGTTAGGGAGGGAGTCCCGTGGTATATCAGTTAGGCAGGGGGTCCTGTGGTATATCAGTTAGGCAGGAGGTCCTGTGGTATATCAGTTAGGCAGGGGGTCCCGTGGCATATCAGTTAGGCAGGGGGTCCCGTGGCATATCAGTTAGGCAGGGGGTCCCGTGGCATATTAGTTAGGCAGGGGGTCCCATGATATATTAGTTAGGCAGGGGGTCCCATGATATATCAGTTAGGCAGAAAGTCCTGTGGTATATCAGTTAGGCAGGGGGTCCCGTGATATATCAGTTAGGCAGAGAATCATATCGTATTTACTCATGTCTAAGCTGACTTATGGATAGTGTGACCCCGGAATTTTTTTGTGTGAAAAACCTGATTTTTTTTCATACAGTTCATGTATAAATGTGACTCCAGCTTCCGAGCAATATTAGTAGGCCTACCGTAGTCAAATATTGCAGTCCTGGGCATCATCCTGGACCTATTTTATAGCAAATAAATGGTCTTTTTTTTCTTTTCTTTTTTTTTTTTTTTTTTTTTTTTTTTGCACAAAGCTACCACAAAATAGAAAAATCAATTAATCATAAAAAATCTGATACAAAGATGTGAATTCTGCACCTTCTTATCCACAGCCAAAAAATTTCCCTGTGTATAATGCAACCAGTCACCAAAAATGCATGACTTGTAACCTCTTCAAAAAAAAAAAAAAAATTACCTGTGTATAGTGTGACATCTTTATTGTTTGCATAGAAAAAAATGATCATAAAAACTTGCACTATACTCTGAGTATAAACAGTATTTATATTCAGACTAATATCCTGATCTTTGTTGTTGTTATCACAACATTCCTGCTGTTGTTTCATTAAGTTTTCGGTTATTGAGACTTCTGAAAATTATTTTGGTTAAATGGTTCCTGGTTACTTTTAACATTGGATTGTGTTCAATCTTCTCTCTAGGTAAGGAAGTTCTAGACAAATACTGTTAATAGTCACTGTAATTTTAAAACAACAGGTTTTGTCCATTTTTACAGCATGCTTGATTTTTTTTTTTTTCTCCTCCTGTTTGGATAGTTTGGCCAGAAAGGAGGAAGAAACATGTTTAATACATGGGAATTGCATATTTGAAGAAATATGGTTTCCAGCAGGGTTTCGGTTCAAGTGAAATTTTGTCAAGCAGTTTTATTACAAGATAGTGTTTTCTGTTTTTTTTTTTGTGATTTCTTCTTTAAAGTTTTTCTCTAATTGTATACAAGTATTTTTAGTTTGTATTAAAAATAAAAATTATTTTTGCCTAATAATGCCAGAAGTAAATTTATGAACAAATATGCATCTCGACAATCATTGCAAACAAGTATTCATCCTCATCGCCTGTCCCTCATTATGTAACTGTTGCCTGTCACCTAATTTACATCGACCATATAAATATGGGTTTACCGGAAGGATGGGGAAGATAGTAGAGATTAAGAAATTGAATCCAGAGACTCTTGGATTTTATTCAAACAAAATTTATAACCTATTCTTTGTTTCAATACATTTTGTTAACGTACATTTTGTGTTGTATTTCAGTTGGTTTTATTCAAACAAAATTTATAAACGCATTTCAGTTGGTTACAAGTTAGTGAAATAAAAATTATTCTCAAATATAATTTTTTTTTTTTTTCATTTAAAATAGTTATGATTATCTAAAATGAAATCCACTTACATCAGATTTAGCCTGTCACAAATGATAATAGATAAAGCAGCCATTTTCTGATACTGTTTAAATAACAAGAGTATGTATACCTACATGTCTTTCAGCTTGCTTGTATGATGATGCAAATAATGTCACAGGGAGGATTAGATTCATGCCTGTGAAAGATGGAACTTCATTTCCTTATTCTTTTTTTTTTTGTGCTGCAACAGCTCAAGTAATAAATATCATTGGTTTCCATTTCAAATATACTTGTGAATATTGAATAGTCTTTTTGGACTCCCTTGCTCATAAATTTATTCTTTGCTCTTTGTTCCTTGTATGTGAGGCGGCACCAAATTTGCTTTCGTCCAATGTATATTCTAAACAAAATCTATAAAATGTTTGTTACAAAGTAATGAAATTAAAAATTCTTCTGATGATATGTCTGAGATTTTTTTCTTTTTTAATTTCAGTGGAACAAGAAAATGACCTCCTCGTATGTGGTGACTGCCAAACGAACTTCCCACTTAAAGATATTCAGAAATTTATAAAACACAAAGTTCTCCGCTGCAACAAAGAAAACATCAGCGTATTAGACTCAGAGGCTGAATATGATGACGATGACTCTGAAAGTGAAACAATCTCTCAGATCGGCTCGAAACAGCCGAGCATCTCTGCTCCTATTGCCCGTAAAGAATCCCAAGATACGAAACATTCACCTCGGCCGTCCGAACCGATGAAGGAGCTGAATCGGTCATTAGACACCAACTCTAATAAACACAAGGAGGATGAAAACGGAAATGACGATAGACATAGTTTGCCCTTAAAACCTCATAAACTGGTAGTTGATGCTGAGTCAAACACTACGCATTCCGGTAAGTCTTTGAGATTTTTGATTCTTGCATCATTCTTAATGTTCTCTGTCAAGCTTGTGTTCTCTGTATGTGTGTATGAGGTGTAAATGAGATATGGGTTGGCTATGAAGTCAGTTTTGATATTATTCATTTGGCAAAACGATCACCCACTTAAAAGGAATGTTAAATTTTGTTTTAACTTGTTGTCTGGACTTTTATTGTTTGTGTCTATCTTTTGTTTGTATTTTCTGTTTTTAGTGAACACTGGGACCCAATAAAATTGGTTTTGTCTTAGGAAAAAAAAAATTAAATTTTTGCACTTTTTAACCAGGATCAAAGTAATAAAAACTAGTTGTACATTATTGAAAATACCTTAACTTTGAAAGTTAATTAAATGAACAGCCAGCATCGTTATGTAAAGGGCAAAAGACATTGTGTGGAAGAGAGACGTTCAGTGAAAAGTCGATTTTGGTTGCAGGAGATAAAAGTAGTTTTTGGTCTATATATTTGGACTGAGTAAGATTTGGAGAAAATGTACCCCCCCCCACTCCAGATTGAAGTCAAACCACCAAACATGAAATTATTTGCTCAAAGCATTTTTCACAATATTTTTTATATTAAAATTGCTTCCTGAAATGGAATTTTTTTTTTTTACACCTGACTAAAACTGAAAGAAAAGAGTATATTAATCAATTTGTTTTTCTTTTTTCTATTTCTTCTTTTTCTTCTTTTTCCTATCTCTCTCTCTCTTCCTTTCTCTCTCTCTTTTTTCCTTTCTCTCTCTCTCTCTCTTCCTTTCTCTCTCTCCTCGTTTTCTCCTCTCCCTCCTTTCCCCTCAGTTTTCTTCCTCTGACACAATTTTTTTCCTATTTCAATTTTCAATTTTCTTTAATAATTTCTCTTCCCCTGTCTCTAAAATACCCTGACCAATTTTCTCTCAAAGAATAGATAATCAATATCATGTACCAATCTCCTGAGATATGTCAAGCTTCACTTCAGCAACATATATCAATATATGGCATCGTACCTTTCAAAGAACATTCACCTCATCTTTTACTTCCTTCTTAGTCTTTTTTTTTTTCTTTTTTTTTTTTTTTTTTTTTACCTGGAGTGTAAAGAGTAAAATAAGACAAGTGGGTGGGGACGTCTTTCAGATTTAAAAAAAAAAAAAAAACCCTGCGTGCACTCCGTTTCGTTTCAGATTCTTGGGTATAAACTTAAATTCCTGTTCTTAAACCACTTTCCAGGAGTGAGCACATTTTCATGCATTTATTTATGAACACACACACACACGCGGCTAGTGCAAGTCTTGCCCCTCCTCCAGCTATGATACGACCACACCCCCACGATACAGGCCCCCCCTCTACTACATCTCAGTTTTCATAAGGTAGTACGCATCATAAAAAATCAAAAAAATTTTATTGTAACTTAATTATATACAATAATGGATCATATGCGATATATGTGAACAATTCAATTAGAAAAATTGAAAATAAATACAACTTAAGAGACATGTCGTAATAGATCCTTACATCTTAAATAAATTAATGTTTTGTGGCAGTTCTTAATGATGGATGCGTTAAAATTATTCAAATTTTTAGCAAGAAAGGAACTGAAGTTGATATTAAGTTTTTTTTTTTGAGACTCAGCATGTTCAAAACAAATTCAGATTTCGACAAAAAAAAGGTCCCAGAATGATGTCAAAATCAGCAAATTTTTTTTTTCTAACATATATATATATATATATGTATGTAGAAAAAAATAGCCAATATTGATAAGATAGCAAGACTCACAAAGCACTGCTCAAGACCCCCACACCCACCACAATAAGGTTTGAACCCTTCCCTGGTCAGGGGTAGTATATACTGGCTCTGTTTGAGAAATTTTATATATATAGTGGAATATTAGTGTTTAAGCCTTTTTATTATATCCTTACTCTGTCCTAGACATTGAGTTCTACCTGGATCATTCCTCTTGAAAAATTTTTTTTTTTTTTTTCTGAAAATATACATGTATGGGAATTTTTTATATATATTTTGCATATGTATGTATATTTTATTTTATATATATATATATATATATATATATATATATATATACACACACACACACACACGTGTGTGTGTTTGTGTATGTATATACAAATGGTAATAATTATATATACGCTCTATTATCTACACATATGTATTTACAAATGAGTGTGTGTAGATGTATTTGAACTGTAGATGAGTACATTTGTCTTTGCCTACACATTTATAAATTAACAACAGATTCACTTTTCCTTTCTTCTCTGGCTTTCCTTAATCTTCCGAAGTAATTACTTTTGAAGAGACACAACCAAAAATTAACATTTCATGTGTTTGGAGCACAGATTTGTGTTGGACAGTGGAAAGGAGAGAAAAGAGTTTGGCACTGAAGGCAGGCCACTTGGCATTGCCCGGGGCTCAACAACAGCCGCTTTTATGACTATTCAAAAATTTGAATTGTCAAAGTTGTTTTTATTTTTTTTTATTTTTTTTTTTTTACATTATTAACTCATTCTTAAATTTTAATTTGATTTTTTAATTGTTTTTTTTTTATACTTTAATCTTAATTTTATTTTAAAAAATTAACTCTTGTTAATTCACAAGTGAAAATAATGAATATCAATTGAATTTTCATTGATTTTTTTTTTTTCCTGCAATATTTTTAAAATCAAAGATCAAATATTTATTTGGTACAAAATTTGAATCTAGCAAAATTTCAATAACAATACAGGGAAACCTTGATTCAAGGCTGTTCATAACTCAAAATATTCGTAAGCCAAATTTATTTTTCCAATAAAAATCAATGTAGAGAAAAAAAGTCACAGTACAATAAAATTAGAAGACAATTACACCACAACATACAACACAGTGGTCAACTCGGAAATTATTCTGTTGGGGTTAACTCGGTTTGTCAATGTTGTTTGAGAGCCAAAATTTTGTTCAATTACCGAGGCATTTTCCTCTTGAATTTTCTGTTTGAAAACTCATTTGTTCAACATGTGAGATGTTTGTGAACTGAGGTTGCACTGTATATTGAAAAATATCCTATATTTGATTAGATTTAGAAATTATATGTTAAATCATTTTCTGTTTCTATTACTCAGAATTCAGGTTCATTAAAAGAAAAACAAAGGGACAAAAGAAAAAAACTTATAGTCAACGTGCTTCATTCTCTGAGGCACTTTATCAAGGCCAATGCAAAGATTTTATTTTGTAACAAATAGACACAAGCAAAAATGTTATTGGGTTTTCAAAATATTTGGTATAGGATGCTCATGAATATTTATCAGGTTGGCGAAAAAGTGAGGCAAATTCATGGAAATCAGGTGATACACTCCAATGTCTAATAAACGAAAGTGTGTTGGATATATATATATATATATATATATATATATATATATATGAGGCACAGTGGAGAAGTGGATAGAGGCTCAGATTGAGGAATCGGAGAGCTGTGTTCAAATTCCATTTGAATCGATTACATTCAGTTACATGTTAATACATTTGGGAAAGGTATTAAACTTCTTCTCCCTCCAGCTGCTGCCATCCAAGGATAGCCTTGGATGGCAACTGGTCTAGGAGAAGGACAACTCTGAATTCAAAACCTGTGGATGGTCATTTGTGGACCTTATGGTACATAGTGTACCAGGTCTTTCTATTCGGCCCTTCCAAAAGTGTGGTTGGTTCTACGCAAAGCCTTCACCACTATAATCAAATCATATGTGCTGGTGTCTGGGCTGTTGATTCCTAGGAACTGAGCTGCTTGACCCTCCTACATCGAATATGATGGGAGAGTCCACCACCATCACCACCATTTTATTTTTATATATATATATATATATATATATATATATATATATATATATATATGTAAAATGTAAATTAGTTTTAAATTATTTTGAATTACCATGAGGTTAAACTGTTTTCTTTTACTTTTTAGTATTTTTATGGCTTGGAATTGTAGTAATTCTTTCAGAAAAAGATTTTGGGAAGAATCCAGGGTACAGATTTATATTTTGATAAGATTCAGTAGTGGAACTTTTGAGAATTTTCCTTCTAAGTAAGTTACTTTTTCATTTAATAAGTGTGCATTCAGTTAGTCAAAGTTTTGGTCAAATTTATTTCTGTGTATGACTAAAGCATTTGATAAATTGTTGTGTATAAGGTCTCTTTTATGTTCATAGATACATTTTTTAAATTTCTGCAAGTTTCTCCAATGTATTGTGACGAACAGTTCTGGCAGCTTATTTTGTATATAACTGATTCAGAATTGTTATTGTCTATATTTTTGTTTCTGATCATATCCTTGTCTGTCTAGTTTTGTTCCTGAAATTTTTACATACACACACACACATATATATATATATATATATATATATATAAAACATACACACACACACATATATAAAACATACACACACACGCATATATATATATATATATATATATATATATAAAAACATACACAAACACACACACAAAGCAACTAAAGAACTAACAAGAAAGAACTCTCTCGTGACATTAATTCATATAATATCTTACATTTAAAGAAATCAAACTGAATTCCAAAATATAATTTCAACAAAACTTTAAGATAATCTACATATATCACCACCTCTAGGAATTATGTCCATACAAACATGTATATGCACAAAAGCTGAGTATCATCTACCACGTACTCAACTGTGAAAGCAGAATAACATGTATTTTTATATCTTTAAAGTTCCCAAGAAAATTCAATTTTGGCATTAAATGATCCATAAGGAGTTGATATGCTGTTAAACAGACAACAATCTCTCACACACACACACACACACGCACACATACAAAGGGGTGCTGAAAAGTTCACGGCCCAATCTGGTCAAATAACAAAACATCAGAATTTTTTAAAATCCTTTATTGGCCAAGCTAGGAATCTTTTTTTTCATCACTCCTGTCCATAGTTTAGAAAATTTATTTCCCTTTCTCCTTCTGTTTCCATTAAATGAACATGTCCTTGCATTTTTACATCTTTCATTTTCTCATAATCCATTCAAATATTGAAAATGTTCTTCTCCTACACCCCATCTCCTTCCCTCACATTGCAGAATGGAATTGTTTCGTAGATTTTAATCATTTTAAAAAAAAATTGTCTTCCTGCCATTTTAAGAAAATGGCTATATTATTTACTTGAAATGCCAGTATTTTTTTTTTCTGATTTATTTTTCACAGTCTGTGGTGTCATGCAAGTCTATGAGGCCTACTTGTATAGCAGTAAATACCACTGCAAATTTCAGTTTCATTCATTCCTTTTTACCTCATTTAGCTATCAAGTAACTAATTGTTTGACTTATTTATCCTTTTTTTTTTTTAACATTTTCGATATCATCTCTTCTTTCTTGTTTTAATGAAATCTAATAGTTCTCAACCTTTTTAATGTTCCTATCTTGTTCACTGGCAGACATAGTTTTACTTCCACATTAATAAACTTGTTTTATTCTGGAATGAATTTAATATTGAATTAAAAGAGAATTCTAATACAATATGACATAGTCTGTTTGGTAGAACAATAAGTACTTTATGTGGTGGAGACATTTTTCCGTTATACAAAATTCAAGACTAATAGACAAAGGGTTACTACCTTGCACAGTATGCCCAATTGGTTTGGACCCAGATTTCTTTTCCTTCTCCTAGACTAGTTGCCATCCAGGTCTATAAAGACCCAACTCTGTCTTATGCTCATAGCTGATGCGAGAAGAGATTGATTCATGTCTATGGCCCCTACACTCCCAAATGAAACACTCGATAATTGTTTTAGGATCCCTTATGTGGACCTGGAAGATGGTTT